AAATGTATGCAGTGGCAAAACAGTAGACTGCACAGAGATGAGATAATATTGAAGAGAGGCAGCCGTGGGAAACCTGGGGCATGTTTATGAACTGATTTAACTGAAATGATTTAACAGGAAAAATTCTGATTCTGATTCTGTTGTATTTGATGGAACTGATGTTGTTGTGCTGCTATGTTTTAATGTTGAGTTTCTGTTGTCTGTTCCAAATCGATATTTAAGCTGTACATACAGTTTCACAGCAGCTGTGAACATTTTGTAAATAAAATGTCCTAGTCAGAGCCAAAATCTTACCATACACTGTGTGGCATACACAGGAGAATTGTATATAACTCAGCACAAAAGCCACATGCAGGATGGGAAACATCCTCTTTAAAATCTGGACATTTAAAGGACATTTTGTGAACCATAATCTTTGCTACAGTGGCCATAGGTTCAATTCCAGTTGCCATTCCTTTTCTTAATATATATGTATATACACATATAAATGAAAGAATATCAATAGCTTGAATTTCTCAAATCACAAACGTGCAAATCACACATTTGAATTTGAATGAATGTTTGCTTACTAGGAATACTGAAATGTTTATTTTGTCATAGATGTTCCATGATTGTCAATTAAAACATGTTGATTTGGTCAAACCAAATTTTTTAGCTTAGTTTTTTTATGTGAATGTGTAGAATTTAGGTCAAAGTATAATCTGTTTTCCCATTACAAACATACAAACATTCACACAAAACTTTAGAAAATCTCCCTTTACGCTCACACACACATATCAGATTGCATTCTGGGACGACTGGTTGTGTTGTTTCTCATTTAAATTACTTTTAAACATTTCATGAGTGATAGCTGTCAAATTTTATTTGGCATTAGTAAACAAAAAATAAATGTTTACAGAGTGATAAGAGTGATAATATATGTTATAGAGGTTATTTTGCTCGCCACTGCTCTACACTGTTCACATAAATTTAAGTATGTTGCACATCTGACCACACCTTGATCACTGGAAAAGATACCCAGGTGTTTTATCTTTGACAGATGAGGTCAAACACCCTGTGTTACATCACAGTGTTGGATGGGGCCTGAAGTGCTGCATATTAAATTTAACTCATTAGTGCAACAAACATTTTCTGCCATGTGAGTAGGATTCAGTTTCTTTTTCTTCTTTAAATGCCGGAGAATTCTGCTGTGTTGAAACCTGGGATCCAAAAAAACATTAACCTACCGAAGATGAAATTGGTGACAAGAAGAATTCTGTAGATTTTCTTGAAAGCAAAATCAGAAGTTAAAGGGACTGACTGCCCACACAGGCTTTCCAAAGCCCCAATTTGTAAGGTACATTCTCCTAAACATTATTTTATGTTTATTTTACAGAACTGATACAGTACATATTTGAACATAAAGTGCTCATGCAAACACATGGTGCAACACTATAAGAGTTTCATTCATTCTGTTTAATCAACTAGCAAATGGAAATGTTGCCGTGACTCCAGCTGACTTGCTCTTACTGCTATCAGATATGGCACAACACTATCCTCATATGGCTGAAATCATGTACTACAATGTGTAACTGTACCCTTGTGAGTAATAAAGTATGGCCAATATAATTAAATGGTATATAAAAATGTATATATATATATATATATATGTTAAACGAGAGGTCATAAAAAGACATTCATCAGACAGATTAGGCTATAAAAGGCAGTTATGCCATTATATCCAGTAGCAGACTGTGAAGGCAGGAAATAGATGACACATTTCTCGTTAAAGGACCAGTTCTCCCCAAATAAAAACTACAATTAATTTCTTCCCTCCTTAGCTCTGGTGGAGGCATCTAACCATGGAGATAGTTAAGGCTTTATTTGCACAGGGTTAAAATATCGATTTCTGTCATTTCTGCTGTCTCCCCAATAAAAGAGAGGTGAAGTGAATTTTGTTTGTGGTCCTTACTGCAGTGAAACATTTACAGAAATCTCTTTTTTTAGAAATGTTCAAGTAAAAACTGTTAACATTGACATCTGTGGGATTATCCAGATCCAAGTTTATAGCAGTAATAACTTACTTAAGCTGTAAATGCAACACTGGAATACAATTATTTTATAAAGTTGTTGTGGTGAACTTGTTTTTATGGAAAACTCATGAATGCAATATTCCATATTCACTTTCCTTGTAGCTCTGTTTTGCCCTCCAACAGCCCCCGAGGGGAATATTTAACTTTTTAGCTGCTAAATGTTTGATTATGTTCACCAGTTACTTGCTAATTCTGCTTTTTGGTGCAGTGCATGTAGTGTACAGTGGACTGATCAGAGCTGAAAACAGTACACTGCTGCTGCTGGAAACAAGGTTGACAAGAGCAGCGAGAGTGAATAAAAACACTCAAAAAGTTGTGGACTGTAAATCCAGAACATTTATCTCTTTTTTTTATTGGTGTGGAGGCAGAAATCTCAAAGGCCTGAATCTCAAAACCTGCATGGCTAGATCCCACCAGAGATTGGTGAGTAAATGTGTATTTGTACTTTGTGCGAATTGACTCTTAAGGCTTCTTCTTTCTCATTTGGTAGTGATGGCGACTCCCTTCTTGACCCATGCGTTGCTGTTGAGCAGAGAGAGCATGAAGCGAGCCACGTCTCCTCTCCCCACTGCGCTGCCTGCGGGATTACCACTGCTGTCGGGTACAAAATATCCTTCATGGGTCAGAAACTCTTGAGCTGAAGAGGACAAAAAAATGAAAAACTGGGAGTCAGAGGCGTTACAACAACAGCATTTAAAATTGGTCCTTCACATGCTGAAACCTCAAGGAAAGGAATAGGATTAATATAAAAATGGGGCCCATTCATTCTCATAAACACTTCATTAAGTACGCTAATGAGCTTGAACTATGTCAAAATGGATCCTGAGGCCAAAGGGCTTGTTAAACACACACTGAACACGCTGTTGTTTATGGCGTCACCCTCTCTCTGCAGCCAAACTGGCACCCTGTTATTCTTGTTGTTAGATGTTAAATGTTCTTGAGTCTGTTTGTATGTTTCTGCCCCTTGTTGGCCGCCGCGTGTCAGCTTTTACCTGAGGCCGGCAGGTTCTTGAGACCAGGTGGGCGAACCACCGTCCAGTTGATGTCCTCAGTCTTGTGTAGAAACTGCTCCATCTCGTGCATGTTGGTGAGGACGCTTCGGATCATCGGCAGCAGGAGGAACCGGATGAGGTAAGATGACTGCGCTCCAGAGTTAGCTAACAACATAAGAGAAAAAACAAAGTAAAACCATTCTTCTCTTAAATCTCTCAAATTTCACTCAGAATGTACACGGTAAAATGTTTTAATTCTGATAATGATCCTTTGATGTGCAGATACAGACCACACAGAATTAGAAAGTCAACTTAGTCAGTAAATTGTAAACTGTAAAGTGATGCTTTTAGGTGTTTGTACACATTAAAACAGTGTAAACAGCAGATCCTCAAAGACACTTTTTGAATTCCACAATTCTCAAACATTATTTTATTAATTTAATAAAAAATCTGAATTCCATTTGTGCCAATGACAAATAAGACAAAAATAAAACACTCATAAGACTAATTGGTTAATATCAAATTCTGTAATAACAACAATGCAATGCAACAACAAGCCAATGTTCACAAACTACTTGGATAAGTAGCCACAGTTAATTACAACAGATCAACACAAAAGAACTCCTAGAACATCCCACGTTGAACGACCTGGAGGATTTTTCCACTATCAAATCACAAAAAAGCCCCACAGAAAGCATCATTATGTGTGCTGCACTTACGTTCAGTGTACCAGGAGGTCATTGTGATGATCCTGTTGACCCGGGCCTCTCGCATGGCGCTGATCATAGCGTTCATGGACAGTGTGTAGCCCGTCACCCCTGAGAAGATGGAGGCCGGGAAGCCAAGGCAGGACATGATCACATCCTGTCCTTTGAAATGAGTCTTCAAATTGTCTTGTGAGAAAATATCAGCTTCCACCACCTGAAGGTATCAAACAGGGAAACATGAATAATGCTGAGGTGAATTTTACTTTAGATATACTGCTAAAGCAGAGCAGGAACCTCTTTGTGGGGTTGAGATCACACACAGTCCAATTCAAAGTTGACAGATGATGTATTTCAAATGAATGAATGAATTGATAGTTACAAAAAGTTGGATTGACCACATTACAGTTGTATCAAAGGATAAGCCTGGTTTTACTCTACATTTTTGTGTCAACAAATCCAATGGATAGATGAAAACTAAAGGTGTGAGTCAATCCTTTTAATGGTTCCCTACTTCCCTACCTGTCTGTGTTTTCTACTGGTTTCTACCGAAGTCTTTATCAATGGGTCACACATATATAGTTAGAAACAGCTGGGCACTTGTTTATTTCCACTTAAATCCTAATTTACCTGAGATCTGCAACATTAAATAAGAACAGAAAAAAAACTGTTTGGGGAGTTCATTAACCTTTTTCATTGTTTCATTTTGTATTCTGAAGATGTGGATCAGTTTTCCCATTCAGTAGATTTCTTCAACAATTATAAGCCATTGCTCTCGTACCTCATTGTAGCGTTTGAGTATTTACATCAGGAGAACGGTGCATGTTTGTTATTCTGAAGCATTTAAGTCACTGTTTGGCTCATTTAAGTGCTTTTAATGGACGACAATAGAGTTCTAAGGCACAGAGGAATAAGCTATATCAGGTGATACTTGGTAATATAATAAATTAATTGTTGGTTTTGGCCTTTTGTGGAATTGGTTGACACTAAGAAAAATCTAGAATAACACAAGGCTTATGTTTGCAGTGTTGCGTTAAGTGCACATTGTTATCTGCACTGCTGTGTGCTGTTTCACACCCAGATCTTGAACCTACAAGAACTTTTGTGTCTACTGTTCAGAAACAGAAAGCAGTACATAAGGTTTTACCTCATATAACTCTCATTTGGACACAATAAAACATTTATCGTGTGACTTCACACTGTCTGAACTTTGAACCCAACATGCAGTGAGCAGCGGCACAATATGTCCAACATTACCTTGAGATTATCATGATGCACAGTGAGTTTTCCCGGGTTCCTGACGATGGCGGTGACCATGTGGCCCTGCTGCAGCGCCTGGTTGACCAGATACTGTCCGGTCTGTCCAGTGGCTCCCAGCACAGCGATCTTCATCCTCAGACTCTGACACACAGGGTTCAGTCAAGGCTGATCAACGTGCTGAATGCTCCGATCTCTCAAACCAACTGCTGGGAAGTTCCCTCCCTCTTTCACAAGTTCAAGTGTAAAAAAATGATTATTACGCTGCAATAAAGAGGCCCTCTATAAGAAATTCACGTTTTTCATCTGAAAGATTTTGCGTTTAAAATGTAGATAAAGGATACACTGAATCCTTGTTTTTACATTAGTCACTGATCCTACATAAATACTTACCTAAAGAGGTCAAATTATGTACATAGGGTAATCTGTGGGAGAAATCACAATACAAGCAGAAACAAACAGTTATGTTCATTATGAATTAATGTACTCATTATTCCTTCTATTAGTTGCTCCAATAAAACCCCATAAAATACAGAAAGTTGCTCTGCACCAGTTAAAGATGACGTCAAATGCTGATGGAATGATGGTTTTAAATGCAGTGAGAAAAAAGCGTTATCAGTTGTTCCAGCTCATTAACAGGGAGGTGAAAACTTCAATTTAAGGAAGTAAAAACACAAACAAAGCCTGTTTGCCTTTGGTGTGTCCAAACTGGGCTTAAAGGGTTATTTCTGCAGCAGTGGAGGATGACGAGCTTGTTGATCAGATGCTCTCTGTGGATACTAAGCAGATACTGTTGACTGAACCTCGAATGATTTTGGTTAGGAAATACTTCTGGGATTAATAATAATAAATGAATAAATATTGATAATTCTGGTCAACATGGAGCCACATGCTACACTGTAAAAGCAGTTGTGTAAAATCCTTCTACAATTTGCTGTTATTTTACCATTCTATTGTTTTTAATATATCTTGTATGTTATTTCACTGCTTTAATAAAGCACTTTGCATTGCCATGGTTGTTGAAATGTGCCGTGCAAATAAAACTTGTCATACAAGTCATTTGTCCTTTGTGGAGATTCGGGACAGGTGACATGTTTTAAATAGTTTTAGCTTTCTGATGGCAGGCTCAGATAAAGCTATAGTCAATTGTGTAAATAGTGCATAAAGATACAAGCCGTCTTTACATTCAAAAGACCAGTGTTTAGGATTTAGTGGCATTTGGTGGTGTAGTTGTAGACTGCAACTCCCTCGCTTCACTGTTATGTTCTAAGCACAAAGGAGAAACTACGGTGGCCACAAAACAGTCCTATCTTGTCTGTTCTGGGCTTCTATAATGATTCTTATTTCCAGATGATTATACACTAATGAAAACACAGTACTGCATATTATATTCTATATTTCTGCCAATAAATCCTCTGAAACGTTACACACTGGACCTTTAAAGTAATGCTACACTGATTTAATATATGATATTTGATTCTGTAAAGATTCAATCCATCATCATCTCACACTTTTTCCATGAATCAATTTGAGTTAAATGAATTCAATACGATGTAAAATGTTCAATGTCTTGCCAAACACAATTACACAGAAAAATAAAGTTCTGATGATACTGTATGTGGCTGCAAACTTAAAGTTAGACAATAACGTCTCATGCATATAGTCTATATACCTTGAATACTTAAGTACTACACTGACCCTTGCATGACCTTTTTATCTAACCACGGGTCAAAGGTCACTTTGTGCTCTACTACAACCTGATGCTATTGCTTTTGTCCTAGCATTTACCTCATGTGACCTTCAATAGGGTCAAGAATGATTCCCATTTTGTGTTTGACTACTGTTTTAATGACTCCCTACAGGGCATTTTATGTAAAATCATTCAAATCAATTAGGTGGGTTTGCTTTAATGATTCAATGCAAGTGACAAAAATACTACACTGACAAAAACACAACTATCTAAAGGCACTATTTTGGCTTCAAAACAATCTGAAACCAGGTGCCACCACTTTCTCATCCTATCTGCCAATTCTGCTGTAGATTATGAAAGCATACATACATTATTTAATAACAGTATTCAAAATAAAGACTAAAAATAAAGACTCAAACATGAGATGTATACACCACCAGCATGGCAAATTAATAAGTATTGAAATGTGGTTCTGCAGAAAGTTGAATCTTCATAAAAACAGGATTTATTGTTAGTTGTTAGTAAACAGGGTGAATCTGTGTTTCCTGTTATGGAGCAACTCGAATTCGCCCATTTCTTAAACGTATTTGTGTTATAATATTATATAACAGGCGATGTAACATACCATTTTCCACATTTAGGCCATTTAATAAATAACATTAACATAAGCTGGCAGCTGGTTGTAGACGCTAAAGTTTGCTAGCTGTGTTAACTAAACATCCAACATTAGATAACTCACCTTCGCCATGAAACGTCCAGTGAGGGAGGCGTTCAAGAGCGGTAGCGTTCAGGTGCGTTTGTAAAGCAACAGTTTACAAAAGTGTTTAATATGTTTAATCTGGATTAAACTGTATGTTTTGATAATACGTAGGAGGAGATCAGATGACCCTTTAAAAGAAATGTCGTAGCTACAGAAAAGACATCCTAAAATGTATATTTTAATGTGAAAAGTGCAGCCAGGTTAGCTAATTCAATTTGTCACCTGAAACATCAGCAGTATACTGTAAAGCTACATGTAGCAAAGTAAGTTAAGTGATGAGTCAGTCGTTAGAAAATGTGCTAATTAGTGACAATTTGATAATCAATAACAGTACAGAACAACTGATAAACTGTGTAATGAACTCAGATAGTGAACACAATTATTGCAGGACGTTTATGCAAAACAAGATATTTATTTTGAGTAGATTGTGTGTTATGTAACTTTTGTGTAAATTTGTAAAACATATTGTATTGCAATATTTTATTTTGTGATATTGATTTTCTTTATGCATAAACCCCTAAACCGCTACATAGCAGTGTTGTAAATGCAAACTGAGAGCTATGATGTTGGTTGTTACAGGGACTGTGATACATACAAAGGCCGATCTCACTGCACATAAAAAAATACTATTGCAGTTTTGCTAAAAGTAGATTTTTAAAAACAAATTGTCTAGCTTACAGGATCGTAATACATCGCAATATATTGAATCGTAACCCCTGTATTGTGATATGTACGGTATCACCAGATTATCTCAACCCATTACACAGCCTTATCTGTGAAAATAGCTCACATTCAGGTCTTCACCATGTCCTTATCCTGTCAGTATTTTGAGGTTTATATCTTGAATAATAATCTAAACTTTAAAAATAACAATTTATTTTACTTTTCTTTTCAGAAATGAATGAAATGCTGTAATAGTTTTAAGTTTTCCTACACTCCTTAAAATCAAGAAGGCCTTGTTACCCCGTGTGAAGCTTTGGTGACCCCCAGTGGGAAACCAGTGACCTAAGGGATATCTATATTACTACCTACCAAGGTAAAAGGTTACTTGTGTGTTTCGAATATGGAACAATTGATTTTATTAAGTCTATTGAACTCAGCACTAAGCAACAGTTGACTTTTTATTGGGTTTACATTGGGGAAGAACATTGAAGGGATCAGAAGAAATGAAACACAGAGGTGCTCTCATTCAGCTCTTCCTTGGGTAAGATAGTTCCTGTTGAAGATGTGTTTGAGTTTTGGTCCAAAAACCAGACCATACACGCACACATAATCCTGGACTCCAAAAAAAGCACCTGTAATCCAAAACACTTCCAAAAACGAGTCCTGTGACACCAGACTGGTGCCAAAAACAGATGCCAGCCTCCCTCTTGCCACCTATGTTTACCTCTGCACTTTGCCATCCTCCTATATAAAGACCAGTCTAGTCGCATCAAGTCATTAGCTGAAGTAATCCACTTGTGGCTCGGTGCCTTGATTATGCGATCACACTGTGGGACTAAAGACTAAACCGGCTTCAGCACAGTCTGAGGGAGCTGCACAGTGGGGATAGCTTTGTACATGAGGCCTCTGTGGTGAATAACTGGGTGCTGCTGTCATTCAACTACCTACAATGAGCCTTCTGATGGACATCCTGCAGTTCTCGACCTGATCCTGGTGGACTGCTGGAGGATGAAACACAGCAAATGGCTGTTTAAATACGCGTTGAAACTGAGAACTGGCATCCAAACAACTTGGGAACTGGTGACTGGACAGAGGAGGTGAGCACGTAAGTAAACGGCCGATTTAAAGATGTCATTGTAGAGTAACTTTTAAATAAGTTAATAAAACTCCAAAATGAGCAGACATATGCCATAAGTCTCAGTTTTGGTCTGAATCTTCTTCATGTTCCAGACCTGGTTCAAATAAGTACTTCACCTAAAATGCCAGGTTTGTTCTGTAGTCCAGTTTTTTTTATCAGAAAACCTCGTCTGATTGGGTGATTTTGGCCTGCTGCTAAATATCTTTACTGGTGACGAAAGCCACCCATCTGTTCCTTTAAGTAGGCCAGAATCAGCACCGCAAAACAAGACAGTTATTTGTTAACACAATTTGATGAAATCTACCAAGTTCAGATTCAGATTTGAATGTTTTATTGTGTTTTGTAAATTGTAAACAATAATTCGGGCATCATTTGTTTACCTAAAACAATACAGGGACGTTTCAAATTGCTGTTTCAACCACTCAGTTTTTTACATGTCATCGAAATAATAACAGCATGTGTAGATATTCCCTTTATTTAGATTATAGATTACATATTATATGTAAACCTTCGTAGAATTCAGACCAAAACAGACATCTGCTGCAGGATTGAGGCCAATCACAGAGGTTACAAGTGAACCAGCAGATAACGAGATTAAAAGTCCACAAAGTCAAGCGACTCTCCTGCGGCTGCCAAGCAACTTCCTCCATAAATGAAAGGGTTTCTTACAGGTCTAGACAGGATTATTTTAAAATGTGTGTGGATAGTAGTAAAAAAGGAATGTATCGACAGTGACTCCAAAGGTCATACATACCTTTAAGAAAGCAGTTCAGGAATCCATGTTGTAGTACTTGAACAGTTTGTTAAATACATGCCCATTTATTAAATCTAGTAGACGAATGACCTATATGTACTTTTTTAAGAATCACTTTTAGCTGACGTGTTGTTTGTTTGGTGCTTTGAACAGGAACAGTCATGGGATGTGGTGTCACAAAGTCTAACCAGTTCAACAAACACTCGAGAAAAGGTAATCATGATCCTCCAGACAGACACTGTTCATCTCTGTCAACCTTCACAGATTTATATAAATCATCACCACACCTGGACAGAGAAGCTCAGTGGTTCTTGTTGTCTACCTTGTTTTTGTCTGTTTACGTTATAACTGTAGTCTCTCCATCATACGTGTTGTATTAATGTATATGTATTTCTCTTCGTCTTCCTCCTCTGCTGCATGCAGCCGTCACAAGTAAGCCCTTTCTATCATACCTTGTTTGTTGTTTTGTTGTTGAATGTAAACTCAAACCACACATATTTGGGTCATGGCAGGTGGAGCAAAACTCGAATGTCAAACTGTTATAGATATTTTGGGGGAGGGGCTTCTGAGGCTCCAGCCCCGAATGTTTTCTAAAAAGCCCTGAATCTTTTAGGCTTTTAAAATAACTTTATTAGCTAGCTGGCTAGCTAGCTAGCTTATGGACTGTGATCAAAACAAAGGTTTTTTGTGTCTACACTATAAAGTTCTCACCAGTTAAAGAAATCAGAGAATAAATATAACACATGTAAATACAATTTCTTTGAATCAACAGATATAAAACTAAGTATTAGTATATTTAGTAGTATAGTATTTTATTTTCAATAATGTATATTATATTATTATTATTATTATGATATATGAATTATTATCCATATACATATGGATTAATATGTACATCACTATTCATTTTGCAGCTGGTACATTTTCATTTTAATTACTGTATATACATTTAAACTCTTATCTTAACTAATTATACGTTATTTGTTGATTATATTTACTATTATTAATCTGAAAAATTACTACAGCTGTCAAATAATCAGTGCATATGTCCCCTCTGTAGTGAGATGCCTTCTGATCACCTGTCGTCTGTTCTCTTGTGTTCCAGCTATAAGAGCTGCTGTCCTCATTCAGCGATGGTACCGTCAGTATGTAGCCCGCACAGAGATGAGACGGAGATACACCTGGCACATCTTCCAGTCCATCGAATACTCTGGAGAACAGGCTCAGATAAAGGTGAGAAACTGGATTTAGATGATCCAGTATACTTCTGTTTGTATCCTGTAAATGAGAAAATAACATCTTTCACCTCTCCTCCCTGTGCAGCTTTATAATTTCCTCGGCTACCTCATGGACAATTTCACACCATCAAGCAATGAACGTAAGATTTCCATTTCGACTGACAAACTGCATTTTCCTTCTGTAAAACTGGACCTCTGTGTTTGAACTGTCATCTTGACCTTCCCTCCAGGAAATCTGATCTCGCACATCTTCCGAGAGAACGAGGTTTGTCAGGACGCAGAGTGGGAGAGGTACTTCTGCTACAAGAACATTGAGGTGCCAGAGATTTACTCAGGACCTCACCTCACCTTCCCTCTGACGGTGGAGCAGGCAGTCGAGTTGGTGGAGGCCTTCAGGAACAAGAAAGTAGGTGCACACCTCTGCTTTACACTCCAGTCTCTAGAAACCTTTGGATTGGTTTATGTTGGTTCTACAGCACAATTTAGTTGTTTTTTTAGTATAGCAGAAAAAGGAGGTGGAAATGATTTTGTATTTCATAGAAATAACATAACCCGCATTTGACATCCTGATATTATACATACATTTTAAACTGTTTCTATGAAGAAATTACATTTTAATGTGACTTATTGTGACCTTTGGCCAACAGACTAAGTTTGAAAAGCTGTATAGCCAGATAAAAATCTTTCAGATAAAAAAGAAATTTACTCTACGAAGGCAAATAATATTTGCACTGTGGATGATTGAGGCCTAATGATTTTATCGTCCCAGCTCCACAACACATATCATTTGTTTTGATATGTACTGTATATTTTATCTGCAAGATAGTCATACTTGCATGAAACTGACCCTAACAATCATATTTATGAGCGTAAGAAGGAGTCTGAGGTTATTTGGTGTTGAGAAGAAGAAAAAAATGATTTTTTAAAAACATCCAAATGAAGCCAGTGCTGCTAATCTGTACTTTAACATAAGAATTTCACTTGTCTTTAAATCTATTAATAGTTTATTTTAGTAAATCATTCATGCATAAATCACAATATCACAGCAATCACTGCAGTATTACCACCTGTTCATGTGTTTCGTGCTTGAAACCGTCTTGCTGACCAGTCTCTCTCCCAGTAGCAGCTGCACTCACGCTACGTCCTGCAGCTCCTGCTGGAAACATGGAGACAGCTCCGGATGTTGCCAAATATCAGCCGCATCTCCACCTGCCAAAGCAAAGAAATCACTATTTGTGGTGAGCTGAAAGAAATAGTTGATTTTTAGATTGGATGTTAGGATGTTATTGCGACCAAGGTCCTCAGCCAGTCTTGAACTGAAACAGAGCTGAAACTAATGACAGAAAATGAATAAGCAACAATTTGGACAATTGATTCATAATTTAGTAATAGTAATAGTAACTTCTTGTAGCAAAATGCCTAAAAGTCTTGTGAAAATTTGTTGGATTGTTCGTTTTATGTTTATATGTCAAATTATGCTCTTTCTCCATTTTACAAACCCAAATATCTGATATTTTATAGTCCAAACAATTGTCAGACCTAATTGTTGACAAATATAATTGTCTACAAAGCCCTTATATTAAACCCTTGAGGCAGCAGCACATCCCAAAAGGTTTTCTGATAATATACAACAAGAGCCTCTCTGTTGTAAAAGTAAGTTCTTTCTGCCAGTTGATGAAATGTGTTGATTAATGTACGTATATCCTCTTCATTACAGGTGATTTGCACGGGCAACTGGAAGATCTGTTGCTGATTTTCTACAAGGTTGGGACCTCCTCTTCTAAAATCTTTTACAAATGCTGAAATAACCCTGACATACAGCATATGTTCTTAGCTTATGAGCTGTGGTTATTCATTTTAATAAGATATCTATAGATAGCCTTTTTTTATTGAATTTGTTCAAATGCTTTGATTTTATTATTATACTCTCCTCATGTACTTCAGGGCCCTAAAGTAAATCCGTAGTGCAACAAAGAATAATTATTTTCATCATTAATTGATCTATTGATTATTGTTTCATTTAAAAGTTTAACTGTTTAGTTTACAAAGTGCCAACAAAAAAAACGGCAGTCAAAAAACTCAAAGTTTTATTAAGTTAAGTATGTTTTATTTTAATATTCAGTTTTGAATGATATGAAATGGAGACAAACAGTAAATTCTGTGTTCTGAATGTTTGACTTTTTTAATTCAACTTCAACTTGCATTAAGCACTTATGAAAATTGTTGCTGATTATTTATGTTTTGAATAACCAACCATGAATCAACTAATTGTTTCTCTTTTGGTTAAAACAAAGATGTTTAGCTGCAACATGCTGCATTTTTCTACATTAAGGTCCTACAAATCACTTAATGAGTGAAACAGGATCATTTGTTTACATTTAGATTACAGAATGAACCTCTAACGAGACATTATCTTGCTGTTGTTTACTCTACAGAATGGCATGCCTTCCTTAGAGAAGCCCTATGTGTTTAACGGAGACTTTGTAGACCGAGGCAAAGACTCCATTGAGATCCTCATCATTCTGTTTTCATTCCTGCTCGTCTACCCGAGTGAAGTCCACCTCAACAGAGGAAACCATGAGGACCATATAGTTAACCTCAGGTAAAACTAAATCTACCTGGGGACAGTGAAGTCCAAAAACACACGTTCTTCTTGTCCAAATCATTCAGTTATTATCAAAAACCTCAATTTCTCACTCTCATCTTGTGTTTCTCTGGCTGATGTAGGTACGGCTTCACAAAAGAGGTGTTGACTAAATACAAGGTAGGTTTATACAATGTAAACCTGAAACTCAACACACTCCTTTTTTTTTTTGCTGCTTGGTATTAACTCCTTATCTCTGCTTATCAAACCAGTCAGCACAGCCAAAATGTGTCCTAATCCCAACTGTCTTTGCAGCAAATTAAAATGGTTTCAGTCACCTGCGCCTACACATTCCCAGCTAAGCTTAATATAGGTCAATACAACACTGGTCACTACTCACAGCTAAGAGGATTTGATGTCATTACACAAGATAACTGGAGGACATCTGGCTCTGTTGGCTTTTGATGAGTCAGGGAGGGCGAGGTGGTCCAAAGACCCACCCTCCTTTACTCTTCTTTCTTCCTGAATTTGTTTAGATAAATGGAAGAAATTCCTGTAAACTATCAGCACTAATTTGACATATATATCAAAGATCAAAATTATATACATCAAAGATACATCTTATATTGGGTAGGAAATGTAAAACTGTAGAAGATGAAATTAAATGAATAGAAAATGTAATTTTCGGTATAATATAATAATAAAATTCATTCATTCACTCAAAAAAGAAAAGAAACCTTAAATGTTTACAAAAAACTTTGGATGGAAAGGTGGATGAGAAAGTAATTTCCTGTTTGTTCCTGTTTATCTCCTCAGATGCACGGCAAACGGATCCTGAAACTGCTGCAGAAGATTTTCAGCTGGTTGCCATTAGCAACGGTGATTGACCAGAAGGTGCTGGTACTCCACGGAGGGATCTCCGACATCACAGACCTCAGCATCCTCGCCCGATTGGACAGACACAATGTGAGGAGACAACATGTGCAGCTGTGATAAACTTCCATTGACACTCAAACACAGATATTCATTCAAGTCTGTGCTCTCCCATGTTTTCCCCAGTATGTTTCAGCGCTGAGGCCTCCAAAGAAGAGACACCAGAGCTTAGCGGGGGCGTCCATTGACTCGGACTTCGATGAGGACGTCTCCACCCACAAGGTCTTACAGCGTCGGATCTCCCTTACATATCCCAAACCCCTGGGAACCCGCGAAAGCTTCCAGAACCGCTCCCTGCAGGACTTCTCCAACAGGATCAAAGGGAAGGCCGTGGATGAGATAGAGATCCACAAGAGGAGGCTGGCCATTTTAAACGTGGGGACTAACAGATCAGAGGAGATGACTCAGTCTGTGTCTTCTGACTCCATCAACAGTGACAATTCCAAGGATGAGTGGAAACAGGTCAGATACTTTGAGACAGTTTTCTTTCCCATTTAGTAAAAATAGCAACAACAAAAAAAATAAACAATGAAAGAAAATATGTAAGTATGTAAGTACATAACACGTAAAAAGATACACATAGAGACAGTACATGTTTGTAGTGCACTGTACTCATGTACTGTTCATGACCAACTCAATATTGTTATATTATATATATTGTTTATCTTGTATTTTCTGTGTAAATGCACAGACAATGCACACACACACACACACACACACTCCCAAATACAGATAATATACTATTTTTTTTTTTATAGTTAGGTCCAACTCTTGGTCTGCATTTAAATTGTTTTGTATTTAGATTTTCTGTAACTTATTAATCGTTTGAGCTTTAAAATGTCAGAAAATTGTGAAAATGGCTCATCACAATTTCTTAGAACCTCAAGTGGCATCTTCATACTGTTTTTTCTAACCACCAGTCCCAAACCCAAACATAGTCAGATTATTATTACTGCAAATTTGTGTAGCTGGAACAGGCTTTTTTTTTGGCAGTTGTACTTGAAAAATTAGTCAAAATAGTTGCAGATGAACCAACCATTCAGTTAATAGACAAATAGTTTCAGCTCTAAATATCATAGTGTCTAAATTGTGCCCTTTACAGTTGGTGTTAGCCACCAAAAGTGAAACAGCTCCATGAGGTTAAAACTCTACAGGGAACCTTTAACACAACTTTAATAGTTTTATAGTTTTTATTTTATTAGAGGAGGTGTCAGTGCTGAAGGATCTCTCATTTAGAATTTAAAAGTCAGCATTCTGTATTGTTTTTTCTCTGTAAGCGAGTTAATGTGATAAACGTGATATCTAAATACTTTATCAAAAAAAGACATTATCAAAAAGTAAGTTACTTTGATCAGAGGTCATGATTTTTGCGCCTCAGCTCTGTTCTAGTGGACTAAAAGAATCCTGAGTCACAGGCTGATAAACGCTCCATCAGTGATCAGCACTCACCTCAGAGGAGGTGCTGAGGATTGGTTCCTGCGTGGGCCTCAACATGCCGTAATCCACTGCGTCATTAATCCCTCATGCCGTGAGTTCAATCTGCTTTTCAGACTGGCCGTCACCACCATACGCACAGACTGTAGAAGTCAATGGTCTCATTTGGCTCTGGTGCTTGCTGGTGATACGTCCAAACCAATCCAATGCTCAATCACTGTAAACGACTCAACAACATGAAGGGTAACTTCATGAATTGTCTCAAATATAAAGTGATGCTTTCAGGTGTTTGTATGCATTAAAGCACTGAAAACAGAAGAAACAGCAGAATAACTTACATTCCAATACATTATTTTATACATTTAAGAGCTTTTAATTGTATGACTTTAAGACTGTAATTCAGATAATAGAAATATTTTTTGCTCTGCCAGTAAAAAATCAGCCATTACACAGTGTGCCAATATCAAATAAGACTTAAAGTCTACAGCCACTATACTTACATCAATATGCTAATGTTTCAGTAAGTATAATAGTTCCCATGTTAGTATGCTAGCATTTGCTAATTAGCACTAAACTCAACGTGCAGCTGAGCAAGATGGGGATGTCATTAGTTTTAGTTGTCTTTGTACTAAAGTATTGTAATGATTAAAATTTTGACCTGATGATGGCGCTAGATGGAACGTTAAGGAATCACCTCTCAAAAATCATTCTGAGTGGGACATGAATGTGTGGACCACATTTCATAGTAATCCATCCAGTTGTTGAAACATTTCACTCAGAACTACAAATGTGAACCTCATGGTGGCTCTAAAGGATGTGTCAGGGGATCATTAAAGTCAGGTGGATTCATGCTCTGAGGAGCATTAATGTCTAAACTTTATTTCATGGAAATCTATCCACCAGTTTTCACAGTTGTCATAAAATTGTAGATGTTCAAATTCTCATTTCCAACTAAGCACCTTAAAGTTTTCTTGTACATTTTGTCATAAAAGTTGAGATTAAAAGTTAATTATTGACCCCTTGGAAACAGGATAACAGTGTGATATGATTGAAATGTTCAGAATAACTACCAATAGACCTTTTGGTGAGTTTTTTCAAGGTTTTTACTTGAATCCTTTAAAATTAAATTTCCTGTCATTCCTGTGTGCTTCCAGATCCTGGACCTGCTGTGGAGCGACCCGATGATCCAGGATGGCTGCACACCCAACGAGGTGCGGGGCGGAGGCTGCTACTGGGGCCCCGATGTCACAGAGGACTTCCTGAACAGACACAACCTGCAACTCATCATCCGCTCCCACGAGTGCAAACAGGACGGTTATGAGTTCTGCCACAACCGTAAGGTGAGCTCAGACACTGACAGCCCACAGCGGCTCTGGTGTTTTCGCAGTTGATTTCCTGAACCCAATAGTTTTCCAGCTCCGCTTTGAAGAGCTGTTAGACAACATTAACCCTCTCTCTCATTTCACTCAGGTTCTCACTCTATTTTCTGCCTCCAATTACTACGATGTGGGAAGCAACAGAGGGGCCTATGTGAGGCTGGGTCCAGACCTTGTGCCTTATTTGGTTCAGTACCAGGCCAGCAGCATGACCAGAGAGCTCACCGTAAGACAAAGGTAAACGTTAACCCCACCTTCCACATGACACAAACATGTGTATACAACGTATCTACTCTTTTATTTTTCTACTTTTACAACTGTTACTGTGTTAGACAAGAACCTTTACTGACAACAACTGAATGTTTAATAGCACAGTTTCGCCTTTTCTGATAAAACAGCAATGTTCTCTACATTGTTCTGCCTTTAATTCATTTAGTTTAATTCATTATCTGTTGTGTTTGTTGTCGTCTTGTCTACAGTGTTGGGCGAACCGAGCGCTCAGCACTCAAAGTCCTGCGGGAGCAGCTGTTTGCGCACAAATCTGACCTCATCTGTGCCTTCAAAACGTTCGACATTGAGAACACAGGTGTGTAGTGTGATTTTCATAAACCAATTCAGTCCTTAACAGATCAGGTGTTTTATTACAGATCTCTCATGTTTTTCCCCTTGCAGTTCTCAAAGGACAATGTCTGGCTGGGGCGAAATATGAGCTCACACTTTTGTATTTTGTGTGGAACATTTTAATCCCCTTTCAGATAAAAACATGTGGCTCCATCCAGAACATTTGACGGTTTCACAGAAACTAAACAGAGCTAAACAGTGATCTACTTTAATCCAGCCAACACCCTTGTGTTTCAAGTACATAATGTGAAAGGAAGGAAGTTTCAACATTGTCATTCAACTCAACACTAATATATACTAGTATATATTGGCCATAATGTTGACCTGCTAATTTATTTGTTGGGTTCTTCTTTTTATGTTATTGGAGTTGATTTTTGAAGTCGTTCATTGACACCTGATTGGACTGTGTAAGGGACCAATGGATGAGAATTTGTGTGAAATCTAGTGTTATAAAATAAATCAGATAACAGGTGAACTCTCCGCCTTCGTCAGGTCTTGTGTCTCTGAACGACTGGGCCTCTGCAGTGGAGAGTGTGATGTACCTCGGTGTGCCCTGGAGGATGCTGCGCGGTCAGCTGGTCACCTCCAAGAGCACCGACGGCATGATCAACTACCTAGAGTGGTTTAACGAGCTCGCCATCAAAGGACCCAACACGGACGTAAGGACACAGCACTGAGCTGGAGATAGATGGTCACAGAAATATAGTGTCTGACTCTCATATTTTGGATAAATTTGAGGCTATTTTATATACATATCTTTTGCTAAAACTTCTACTGTGTCACATAATTAAATGCTGTCTACATAAAAAATAAAAGCTCTCTGTTTATCTCACATGGTTTTTCATCATTTCTCCTCTTGCAGCACATTGACCAGAGTCTGCTTGAGACTTTGTACCGCCACCGCTCCACGGTGGAGACCATCTTCAGAATCGTAGACACAGACAACTCAGGTAAAACTATTTATTCATCACTGAAACAAGTCACATGTTTACTGTGAACATCTATTCACACCACTGGCTTCTTTCTCTTTTTAATAGAGAGCATATTTTGTTGTTCTCTCGCCTCCTTAAGGGAAAATCCACCTTAAAATATTGGCCGTCTGTTTCTGGGTCCATTTTGTTATTTGCTGCTGTATTATTCTTACTCAGTGACATGACATTAGGTAAAGATGAAATATCAGGTTTTACCACCTGTGCTGCAGAAATCAAAATTTTTTCAGGACTTTTTAAATGAACATCAAATAATTGTGTAGGAAAAAGGCCATTATAGAAGTTTAGTTTATTCTCACGGCATCAAATCAGATAAGAGAAGTAAAACACGTGACCGAAATCATAATCAAGAATAATTTGGCCAAAGAAGAGACGTGTGAATACAAACAAAATGAAAGAAAACAGAGAGACAAACAGGGCAGCAGCAGAGGTAAGAAGTCACTAGTTCAATCTCAAATGTATGTACTCAAGTCCAAAGTAAAGTCTAAACCTGTAAACTAACAAAACAAAATTATCTTTGGTATCATCTTTTCCAACTGACGCTCAGTAACATCAACATGTTAGAACTTCATGGTTCTCTTTTGCAACTTGATTGGATGCTGTCTGTTTACCTCCGCAATACAGCGCCAATAAGCTTATAATAATTATACCAAAAAATGAAGGAAAATAATTATTTGGATGTCATAAAGGGGAATTTCACTGATTTTACACATGAAGTTCAGTATATTCATATTCAAAATAGTTGTTGATTAATTTTCTGTCTACTGAAATATGATATAGTATCAAGTTGCATTATGGGAAATGTAGGATCTAGTGTTTTTGGAGCTTGACCGATACAAAGGACTAAACATCAGAATATCTCAACCTCTTTTTTTAATGTGTTGCTTATGAGTCCCCCATTTTGTGGAAGTCTCCCATTTTATTCAATATCTTGAATTAAATGTAACTGTACAAAACTCACAGAGACAATCCAACATGAGCCAGTCTGTGGAGGTTTAAAGAGTGTCAGAGCTCTGTAAAGTATTTGTGGTGTCCAGATAGCGACGTCTACCGAGTTCAGCCTTTGTTAATCCACCTATAGTAGTGTGCAAAAGAGGCCACAGCATGTTGCTGCCTCCAGAATCCTCGCAGTTAAGGCGAGGATTAACCCACTGATCTACTGGTCTCTCCCCACCACATCTGACCACACACACGCTTTTTACTCCATCAGTCTCTGCCTATATTTCTGCTTATTTTTACCCTCTTTGGCCCTTAACTTTTCCCACCCCGTCCATCCGTTATCTTTTCTATGGTGCATCTTTAACCTTTCACCTCCCCAGGCTTCATCACCATCGAGGACTTCCGGCAGACCTGGAAGCTGCTGAGCGTCTACCTGAAGATGGAGATCACGGACGAGGCCATCTCCGACCTGGCCGTCACCATCGACAGCAACCAGGACGGCAGCATCGACATCGACGAGTTCATGGAGGCCTTTCGCCTTACGGACAAGAAGAGCCGACTGGAGCGAGGACGCAGCATGTTCATGGGCACGGTCACTGACCTCACCAAGCTGGAAGAAGACCCCAACATTTGAACAGGGATAGAGAAAGAGAGACTGAAAACAGAGAGCAACCTCAGCTCAGACTCCTGGTCAGGCAGACAGGCGGCAGAGGGGAGGGCGGGGTGACGCAGCCAATGCAAGCTGCTTTAATGACGCACATTAAGACGTAGGATGCTGCTGAGCAACAGCAGCGTGGATCACAGGGGATTAGGAAGAGGTTAGAGTTCAGGGTATTTGACTGCAAATGTTCATTTTGCATTTTATCCACTAAGGCAGAGTAGGTGAAACACAGCTGCACGGACAAACGTTTTGTCTCGTATTAAATTAGAATAAAAATCAGGTTTAGGCAGCGTGATTATTGAAATAATATTAGATACTGTGATCACAGTTATTACGAGGACATTTTTAAATCCGTATCTATCTTTATTTTTAACATGATTATGAAAAGATTAACACCTGCACACTCTCCAACGTTTCAATCACAGTTGGATTTTTAAAATGGTTTCTACACCCATAAATATATTGATAGATTGACAGGCTCTATGATGAGAGAGGTTAACCATCCAACCTGCCCAGGGTGAACGATTAACAATTCAAGAAGGACAAAATTAAAGTGCATTAGTCCTAAAGGGTGGGAGAACAGAGACAATAATGCATAAAAAAAATAGTGTAATATCTCAAAGATATCCAATAACAAATAAAATAATAAAAGTATTAGTATTAGTAGTAATGTAAATTACATTAAAAAAAAAACATATTTCACTGGAAAATCTCCATTCATATTAGGGCAGCAACTAGCAATTATATTCATAATTGATTCATCTGTGAGTTAGTTTCTTGTATTGTAAACATCAGAAAACTGTTACTGTTACATTACGGTATTTTAGTGATAAAGTGGTTAAAACCTAAAATTATTTCATTTACCTACACGAATACCTACACTCCTCCTAAACCCTTTATAGAAACAAGAAACTAAACAAAAGTTACATTTGATAAAACAATGAATAATTGTGCAGCTCTATATCTGTTGCACTAATTAACTGCAACTTAATGTTGTTGGTGCCTTAGCAGTAGAAGTGTTTTAACTTCTGGAGATGAAGTTAATTCTAGTTTGCACTGTTGATGTTTTGTATCAACTGCCAACGATGTATTGAAGTCCTTCCTCATCTCAGGTGGGATACGAACCCTCACCTTGTCCAGAACGGAGAACTCATGCTTTTATTCACTTGACTTTTAGGGTTTGCTTATTAATGTTGCTTTGAAGCCCAGTGTTTTAAGGGGAATACATTATTTGCTGTCTTGCCGAGAGTTAGATGAGAAGATTGATACCACTCACATATATGTGTGTTCAATATGAAGCTGGAGCCAGGAGACGGTTAGCTTAGCTTAGCACAAAGAAACAGGGAAACAGCTATCCTGGCTCTGTCCAAAGCCAGCAACACCTATAAATCTCATTAATTAACATGATATTTTATTATTTGTTTAATCCACTGTGGTTTTAGAGGTGTTGGTTAGTCTTTATGCTAAGCTAAGCTAGCTTCATATTTAACACGTGGTATCAATCGTCCCATTTCAGTATCAGCAATAAAGCAAATATCCAAAATATGGATACAAAGATGTGTTTTACATTTAGTTAGTTAAGTCTTCTTCTTCTGTTGTTAGATAAACTCCCATATTGTGCATGTGCAGTGTGTGCATGTGTAAAACGTTGCTGTGTGTAAAATGTACATTTTATTGTATGTTTTTTTTGTGTGTGTGTGCTGACCATGTAAAATGTTTACCGTAATTACGTCTTTAAAAATAAAATACCTTCAAATTTGTCTATTTTTTAGGTAAGTGATGTTTATGAATTACAATTTACAGAACAGTAACTGATTAAAAAGTGGTAGGCCTATATAGGGGAAAATATAACTTGACTATCTTAACTATATACTGTATATTTTCAGAAAGGCCTTTAGAACATTTCCAGTTGTAGGACCACAGAGCATTTATCTCCAAACTCTAATATTTACCCAATGTTTCCTATAAATTTCTCCCCACTTAATAGTAACTAAAAGTGAATATACTAAAATAATAGAATAATTGTCTCCTTTTGGTTTCATTAGGTCTGCTTTTGCATACAGGAAGCAACTATTCATTCATTATTTATTTTTTAATTCCTTAACTGATTTAAGTGTCCATATCAAATATACAACACAATACAATAATGCAAGGCTGCAACTAAAATATATTTTAATTATTGATTAATTTACTAGTCAATTAATCATTCTGTTTATAAAATGTCAGGGAGTAGTGAAAAATATCTTAGCATTTCCCAAGTAAGAACAAGTGAGTGTTTGACATTTGTTGAATTATTAATTGGTTATTAAAACAGTTTTTATTTTTTGACAATCAATGGAAATTAATCATCTAATATAATTTCTTAAATTAACAAGACAATAACTTATTTAATTTAACAAATAAGTCCACATAGTGACTTTAAAAAAAATAAATTAAATTACCTCAACATTAACAACCTCTGCACATATTCAGGTAATAATTAGTTGTTTTGTTTTTGCTTTGAACATCTCATATCAAATTATTAACAATATTGTGTTGTTCTGTATTATCCTTCCTTGCCAGTCAGATCAGTTTTCAGAGTCACCAGCAGAGGTCACAAAAGACCATTCAGTACAACTTGGAGTTAGTACTGAGCATCAGTATGACACCAAGTTGTACAACCAAGCAGGAGCCCAGAACTGATAATTGATCAAAAAATAAGAACACTGTAATTAGAAAGCTAATAATTATCCACAAGAATTGGCTAAGAGTATTAGTCATTAAGGATGATAACAACAGAGCAAAACAAACAGAGGCTAACTGGGATTTCTGAAGGCACTACACCCTGAATCTGAGCTGCAGCAACAGAAAATGGAAATTCTTGAGGTTTTAACTGCATTGTCTCCCTAAAAGCGTCTGTGGTTGGGACAGTAGTTTTCCTTTCAAATGATAATCTTTCAAGTGGGTGGATATTAAAACATGTCCAGAGCTGTGTGCTGTTTAAACCAGGTTGGATAAAGAGCAAAGTTCGCACACAACCATCCTGTTAGCACTGTGAAGAGGACACAGATGATGGGCAAACCAATCAGTCAATTGATTAATGGAGAAAGTAATGAGCTGTACAAAATAGTTAAAAATCAGCTCCAGCTAATCCAATTGTAACAGTAAAATCCTGCTTTTACATTAATACATGACTAATAATTGTCCCATGATATAATATATAATAGTTTTAATAGTCACAGAGGACAGTTTGTCCTAGAACTTATTTACTGGAGCACATCTGAGATCGCCTGAGACGTTTCCTGCTGATTGTTATTTATTATTATTCAGTGGTGGAGAGAGTTCTCAGTTCATTTACTTATCTTTACTTCTTTACTTTACTTAAAGTACTTATACACTGTAACAATTCAAGTTAAACTGCATTTAAAATGATACTTAAGTTAAGATTCAATGTCTTCAGTGTAAGTATAGTCAGGAAAATGTAAAATAGTCAAAACAAAATGTACTCAATGCAGAAAAATGCCTCCCCCTGTGACTGCTATTATAGTAATATTAGTATCAATCTTCACACCTAACTCTCTGTAAGAAAGCAAATAAGCATATTTCTCTCATCTCATCAACACTCAGAACATGTGATAACAAACTCAGGGTGCTTCTCCAGAGATGGAGGCCAACGTGCTGCCGCCTGTCTGCCCCTCTGCTGCTTTTCACATCCAGCCGCCACCACCCCCAACGCAGAAACTCACACACTGGTGACAAGCGGGACAAAAGAAGAAGACAGTTAGACCTATTTTTCCAGTTCATCGGAGGAGGGGGGCATCTATTGTTTGCTGTCTGCAGGTGGTCTTACAGTTTTAAAGCTGCTGGAGCTCCACCATAATGGAGACATTTGAATGGAAGATTCTCAGTCAACTGGAGGATCTCGAAGCTCTCGCTGTGACAGATTAGTCATTGTCTGCAGGCCTAACTGCACTTTCAAGTAACATTATAGGTCCTAAAGAGAATAATTATTTAGACACTGTTAGATTTTACAAATTTAACCCAAATAACACAGTTCTTGGCAGAATTTTACTTTGTTAATGAAAAGGATATCATGCATGTGGAGGAAGAACTGTTTAAAATGTGCTAAAGTAAGACAAAAAAATAATGCAAATACTAAACAAAATGAACCTTGAATTAAGCAGAGAAGAGTCGCAGTGTCAGCAGACACTGAAGGTCAATCAAGTCCCAAAAAAGTGAATAATAATCACTTAAAGGAAACTGAAAGAGGAAGTGCGTACATGTTGATTCTGAAACAATCACCTCAAGGGCATATGATGCTAGTTCTCAGAAGAGGTCAAACAAAGAGAACATAACTTCCTCTGAAATCACGCATTAGAATAATGAACAAACTTTTAAAAAAGCCCTTGGGGAGTTGATGATCCATCTCTGTTGTAGGTAGAGATGAATGACGGAAACGTGTGACCTCTTCTACTCCCTAAAAACCTGCCTGAACCTGCTGCAGTTCGGCTGCAGGTTTTACATGTGGGAGAAACAGTGAAAAGAGTGCGGAGTTAGGTTTGAAAGGGAGGGATTTCCTGAATTTATTGAATGTTTATGCAAAAAGTGAGTCTAGAAAAAAGTCCTTGCTCTTTAATCTTTGTCTGTTTGTCCAGTTATTCACTGGGCCGCTTGTAAGGCCTTTTACTGAATGCTTAGTCATAGTTGGAAAGCACTTTTCCAGTGTTGGAAAAAGTATTGAGATCCTTAAAAAGTATGATCTGCTAAATGTATGCAAAGTATTCTTGGGACGAAAGGGTCACTAGACAAATTTGAGCAGTTGTGGGATGATTGTTGTGGCAGGAAAGATTTAATCTTTTTAAAAAAAAAAAAATTCACTAACTTCGCTAACTCACAGAGTGAAATGTAAGCAGAGGCCAGTCAGACACCGATTAGCTTGGCACGAAGACTGAAAACAATGGGAAACAGCTATAGCCTCCAAGCACCTCTAAAGATCAATAATTAATAAGTAATATTGATTAATCTATACAAGCATCCACTGGTTGCTTGGCAACCTCATGATGGCAAGTAGTATTTATGCTACGCTAAGCTAAGCTAACCATAACGTGTATTTTCCAATATGACAAAGTATTTCTTCATTAATTAAATGGATTTATAGCACTGAAATATTTTACTTTGAAAATCCAATTGAGGTTTGAATTCTCTCTTTCAAGTTTTAATCTTTAATACTGGACACCAATTCTGAATTTGTAAAGGAAATCTATCTATCTTAGACACAATCTCTCCAATTCAAACCATGTAAATTCAAATAGATGGTTTTTAAAAATGTAATATTTCAGTGTTATGAATTCAGTGTAGCTTCTAATAACTTACACCTAAACAGACATTATAGAGTTATAAAGTTTCCTCTGCAATATCAGTATGATTACCACAAACTGATTTATATTTATTTCTCAGTTTATACAAAAGACAGCAGACGAACATGTGAACTTTGCACTTGACTGCAACTTTTATTTTTTTGCAAATACACTAAAAATGTTTACAAAACCACTGTAGAAACATCTGTGCAGTGTAAATTATCAAAACTAAAAATTAATATTACTTTGAATTCATTTTGCACCTAACATGACAAGCGGGATTGTCATTTTCAGCAGCAAAACAAATTAGTATATTTTAAAGAGGAAAAGTCGGTTAGTGACTGAAATATTGAAACAGAGAGGTTGTGGTTGTTACACCACAGAGCAAATTGAGAGGGGGGAAAATAAAATGGATGGTATGGCACTAGTGCTCATCCCTGAAGGAGGGCTTCATTCATCTAGATAGGTTACACAGATCAATGCTTTGCTTTACTCAGTCATCAAGATAATCAGCCTTCCAGTAAAAAAAACAACAAATAAAATCACTCCAGTTCGACAGAAATGCGTTGGCCCCACAAACATAAATTTACTCACACAAGTTCTCATACTTTGTCCAACATAAAACAATCTTAAATCATTCATGAACACTCTTTACATACATTTTACAGGGTTCTGACTGTTCCCAGTGTGACCTACTACTGGTCCATTTTTTAAACTTTTTTGAAATGTGCTGAATGTTACGAAAGAAAAAAAAAAAAAAGAGACTACATCATGCTACTGAAAAAAGGAAATACTTCTACACAAGTAAAACTAAACATAAAATCACAAATTCAGAAAAAAAACAAGATACATAAATATTGTGTGGCCCCTTACAAAACATCCGAAATTTAATTCACACAATTCTGTATTGCTTTCTTACATAATACTGAGATCTGCTCACAAAGAGCATTGATTACTTGTGTTTGCTCTTGCACTGGGTGACAAAAAAGCAATACCCATCAAACTACCAACTTGTGAAAATCTTCTGTTAGTTTTTTGTTTTTATTTGCCTTGGTGTAAAAAGGCACATACACACACATCCTTTTACGCTCGCACAAAACTGCTGCAAATACTTCACGTAAGTGGTGGCACAATTAAATTTAAAAAAAAAAAAAAAAAAAAGGGAAAAAAGGGTAGGTGGTGGTTTTGTGGCACGGCCGTTATCGCAGAGTAGAGTAAACACGGCGCTGGGGCAGATCTATGTGGGTTATCTTTGGTCAAGCAGGGACGAGCCAATGGGTTTGAAATATTGGACTCAAAGGTCAGTGTAGAAGTCAGACAGTAGAGTAGTGATGGCTCAGGTGTGTTTGAACAGACGCTGTTCAAGCGACACACACACACGACGCTCAGGATTAAGGTCTTTCAGGTTCAAGTCAAGATTTTTTTACAAGGTGGATAGTGGACTGTGAGTTTGCACAAGGCGGTGATTTCTTGCATGTAGGTGGTGATAAAAAGGCCTTTAGTGAATTGATTTAAAAGGAATACTTTTCTTCTCCACCACACTGTTATTAATCCCAGTATCAGACTTCCGACACCAATCTTAGATGATGCTGAAAGCGGCTCGCCCTTTTTGTGCACCTCCAGCGAATGGTTAAGTTTACTAATCCTATAATACATCCCAATGATACATGTGATATGGTCACATCAGCGGTTAATAGAGTGGTTAAGTGTGATAACTTTACAAAAATGTTGCTAGTGATAACTGTAACTGCTAATTGCAATAAATGGCAGCAAGCTTTGGGCTTTGTATCTTGTGCTCAGGTGTCAAAAGGGTTGGCAACACAGAAAGCCTTCAAGATTTAAGACTTGATTTTTAAAATAATTAAAAAAAAAACCTCTGTGGATAAACCTGAAACCGAATGAGCACATTATGGTAAAGCACCACATGTACAAATACAAGTCCATAGGTTATGGCAATTTTTAGCAGCAATAACAAATACAAAAGTATATCAAAAGAAGACACTCCATGTGCTGAAAAACAAGTAACAAAGAGGTGTGGATGTCTGTTGTTCATTCACAACCACACCCTTTATAAATCAATACTAGTGAGGACAAACCATTGAAATGTACTGAACATTTGGACCACCTGCATTGAAATGACCAGGACAAGAAACAAAAAAACCAAACAATAATAATACACAGGGCACAATTTCCAGGCAAAGTGCAGGGAATTTTCCACATTGACAGTTTTACGGCCTTAAATTCACTTCCACTGGGTTTGACATGTGACGAGACAAGTGTGTGGCGGACAGAAAAATGAAAACACAACATGAAATATAAGACAAACAGTGATTCAAGTGCTGTGCGCTGCGCGTTTGCCTGAATGCCTACAGCTCCTTGGCAAACTGAATGACTGCACACTGCGAGTGGTGCACATGGCTCCCTCAAAACCCAATGATTAGTTTTGTTTTTTTAATAGTCACGGCACTTGTCAATGTCTT